ACTTACTTGGCCTTAAATTTTGTGACTGTTCCAGCACTTCATTTCTTGTCTGATTTCTTTGATTTTTCTTCCGATTTCTATCAATGACAACTATGAGGAGGATAAGCAGTAGTAAGAGTCCCACGGATAAACTGATGATAATCGCTAACTCCGCAGCCTCTGAATTTGCACCTGTTCAAAAAGAAAAGTAGAAATTTTCAAATGCATTTCACAACTCAAATAATTTAACAAGGATGTCATGACATATTTTCAGTTGCCCTATTTTTTATCATTTAATTAAAGGTTGTCTTACGATTAGGAATTGCAACTTAATTTGGAAGATCATTGAAGATTCCAAGCACAATGCGACATACAGCATAGGCTCAACACAAGCCGTCCTCACAACTTTCACCACAAAAATGAAGCTCTCAAGTGAGTGGAACAAGCCACAATTTCGTCCCACAGCATATTAAAAAAATAATAGGATGATGGTGTATGAGATGTCCCTAGCTTCAGAATCACAAGGTTTGTGCAAGCAAAAATAAAAATCAACTCAATCTAACTGCAAGTTTAATAGTACCACTACTGTAACAAGGGCCACCTAGAAAAAGTTGACCAATAATATTTTATTGGTCAACTTTTTCTAGGTGGTTTTTCCTGTAATCCAATTATTGGATTACAGGAAAATAGTTAACTGATGCATTTCGAAAAAGTGACCCTGGATACAGTATAGTTTGATCTCTACATTTAGTATTTCTCTTTACCTGAAGGACATGTATAGGAACAGCATTTCCCAGGAACAGGTTTGTAATTCTTGCATGTTGGAATCGCACATTCTGCTTTAATACAATCTTCGGCCTGGCCAAAACTACAGGTGCAATGCAGACAAAAATTGTCCTCCTTTGGCTTTGGCACAAAAGAAGCTCCATTTTTGATACTGTTTCCATTTATATCAGTGCAAAATGATTCTGAAGAGAAAACAGAATAAAATAGAAGATTACCAACAGCAACGAGTTAAATGCACCAAAAACCACAAAATCTGGAAATATTTACAAGAGCTCCATGAAAGTTTCTACATTAGTGCTGAAAAACATATACTAACAAGTCTCTTTCCAAGAAGATTTTTTTCCTGACAAGAAAATTTCGAGGAAGGTTAAGATAGGTTATAGTTTTCCCACACTAGGTAAACTAGTGAATCCTTTAGTGCTACTATAGGAAAGAGCATTTTACATGGTCCTGAAGGAAGAACTGTTACGACAAAACTTTGGACTAAACCCAAATAGTCTGACAGCTGATTGCTTCAACCCTTTCTTCAACTGTGCTATTCAAACAATCCTCAGAGTACTGATGTCCAAAGTGTATCATCTCCTGAAGTCTTTCCTTATTTTTTGTAAAATTTACAAGTATTTTACCACCTTGCAATGTTACAATAATAATAATGATAATAATAAAAATAAAAGCTTTCGCCCAGCCAAAGCTCCTATTTTTTACAGGAAAATGGCAAGAAAGCCACCCCCACCCCTCCCCCCCCTAAAAAACAACCCTTATGCAAAGTGGCCTTTCTTTACAATAAAATGTTCTAATTAAAATTTGCACAGATAGGATGTTCCTGTTCCTTAACTAAAGAAATATAAAATGCACCAAGTGCACAGTATAGTTACAAAAGGAAGCAGAGATTGAACAACAAAAAGAAGGGTGAATTTAGAATTTAAAATATGAGAAAAATTCAAGAAAAGAAGGAGAGCTGAAAGAGTTGGGACATTTGTTCAGACATTTAAAGTAACAGTTTCTTTAGAGTTTGCCTAAAACCTGGAATCCAGAAACTGAGTGAATTAAGTCTCAGGTCAGCTTGCCCTCAGTCTCTCAGTGAGACTGTCTCAATTAGACATTACACTAGGTCAGTATAATGACGTTAAATGGATCCTGAATCACTCAATTTCCTAACCATAATCACTTAACTTCAGAATCATTCGGCATTCAGCGTGGGGTTTCAGGATTCCAGGTTTTAGGCAAACCCTTTAGTTAAAGGCTAACCCACAGCACAAATAACACTGAGATATGATTGCCATATATTCTAAAGAGAACGAATGATTATTGAGAGCAATTTTACTTGACCCGTGAAACAATATAATTACAACTAGTGCAAAATAGCTACAAATAAACAAAAGAAGACAACAAAAAATTGGTGCATAATAGTGCATAGTATTCTACTACCTATTTCACAGGTTACATAAAATCACTCTTATTACTACATGTAAAATAAAATTTATTTATTTATACAGAATAAATGAATGTATCTTCTGATAATTGCTACTGCAGAGAACCTGGGCCTAAACCATGGTGTAAATACCTATAAACTGTTCAAACAGAAAAGAGAGTGCTTTCCAAACTTTCCTTTGAAAAATACTTGAGTCTGGGCATGACCATATTGAAAATCATAAAATGTTCTGGTGGAGCTGATAAGCCAAGGAACAACTTCATTAACTGCCAGTGAAAACTACTCTTCTAAAAACCTACAGTATCATATAGTCTATTTTGCGTAAATAATATTGAATAAGGTTTGCTACATGTACATGCATATAAAGACATTTAACCACATCATAGTTAAGGGTGGCACTGTCTGCAAGCAAGCATGCGGTACCTAAACATCAAAAATTATCCCACAAATACTCCTTCTAATAAATACCACCATTTTTTATCATTGTTTCACTAAAGATTGGAAAGAGCATGAAACAAAAAATTATCACAATCCAAAAACTATGTGTACAAAACAATGATGTACAGTGTGTAAAGTTTGCTGCACACAAATAAAGAAATTGCTGAGGAAACAGGAATTACTAACAACTGTAAAATTCTTGGTAAAATAGGCAAAGCGTAACATACAATGTTAAGGTATTTGTGATATGCATAAGAAAGAAAACACGTATTACCAGTACTATTCATGGTGAATCTTGTAAAATGTTTAAAAAGCTTGATAAATGTATCCCATTGAAAACACTGCTGAATCCTATGTAAGTCCAGTTGAAAAATGTGCTGCCCTAGTAAAAACTGCTTGAAGCCCACAGATATTTACAGATAATCTCTATTTCAGGAAGGGGTGATCCTGTTGACCTTTCATGACTCAAATCCCAATCTTTTCACTTAGAAAAATCCAGTTGACAAATGCTGCTGATAAACACTCATAAGCACGCTCTTGTCCAGCCTGGAATATTTCTACATGAAATCTGCTCCTGGATATTGCATTACACAAATCAATATTATTGAGGCCTGCTCACTCATGCCCACATAAAATTAGAATAATAGCTGTCTTTATCCTCTTGTGAAAATTTACAAGTTATAGAATCAATAACAAAAGGTCCCCAGGGAAACAAAGGATCTATTTACTTGGCCACATATCAGGGGACAAAATAACCACTGCCAAGAATTTGATTTTTGTTATGTTTGCAAATTCCAGTCTTAGAAACAAATGATCCTCCGCTTACACTTGCCTGTTGCAACTATTCAAGGGGATTCTTATTTCTTACTACAAAAAGAAGTTGAGGCTGTATTGTGTGACACGTTTGTGTGGGACAATGTTTCTACTTCAATGCACTGGTATTTTCCCACGGTGGAAAGCAAATTTTATAACTTAACTGTATAAAATACTTGATAAAAAGCCATAAACTATTAATATTTTGCTGACATAGCACATTCCTTACACGTAATCCTTCCTGTTCAGATGACAGATACTGCTTCTGGTATGCACAGGCAAAAGTTAGATAAGCACTAATGCAAAAACACTGGAACTTTATCTTTAAATAAAAGGAATGTTGAGGTATAACAATTTCGAAAGTGGAGGGTGAAAGCTGATTACTTTTGCAGTAAGAGAACATAGCTCTAAAACTCATACTTATTGAACTTTTTTTGTAGCATCATCCTCCCACATAATTACCTACATATCAGTTTTCAAGCCAATAAAGCAGTAGAAAGAAAAACAAAAATTCAGTTGTCTGATGGACTTACTCATAAATTTGCTTGGGTACACGTAAATGTTACAGTGTATTACATGTAGAGTACAAACTTCGACACTTAAAATATCAGAAAAACCTACAATAGTAATCATTTGGATATTTTACAAGATGAAGAATGCATCCGTGAGGGAAGGGGGCGGGGAGGAGTGGCACTTAAGAGAAGTTTGGATATGGTGGGTCTCCAGGGCCAGACAAAATCCCTCCATTTCACCCCCCATTTCAGACAGAATGTTTTTGAGACCCTGAATCATTTAATTTCAATATTACAATATTTTGAGAAATTGTAGGCACTTCTCATGCATACTGTGCACCACAAAAATTCACACCACGCTAAGTTTAAAAAAAAATAAAGTCTTCCAGTCTAGGAAAGGCAACCTATTCGAGCTACCAAATAGTGGAATATATTTTAGTATGTTATGTTACAAATATTGTGAATTATTTTGTTTTATTTTTTAATGTTTTAGATCTTTACATATTTTTA